CAAAGGAAATCGCTACCTGCAAGGGTATCTTCCTCTCTATACAAAAAGAGAAGAATAACTCAAAATTTCTAGATACTTGCAGAAGGTACCATGTAAATATGCATAATATATTTGTTTATCAAGCTGTTGTGAGCATCTCCTATAATGGTATTAGATTCAAGCCACCTCTTTGGGACTTATTCACTTTTCCCTGGACAACTGGGTTATATATGAAAATAAACTTGTTTGGGTTACTCTTATTGGTTTGTGTTTATTCAGGTGGTCATCAGTGGGTCACACCTGCAATCCTAAAAGGCTGAGGATCATAGTTTAAAGCCAGATCAGACAGCAAAGTCCACAAGACTCTACCTCCAATATAATAGCAAAAAGGCTGGACTGGAAGTATAGCTCAAGTGGTAGAGCGCCAACTATGAGCAAACAAGCTGCAAGCACAAAGTCTTAGGTTCAAGCCCCTGTACTAGCACAAATGCATATACATCGAACACACTAAGCACTCTGAAGGCTACTGAAGAAAATTACAAAAGCACATTATTACGATTACACTTGAGAGGAGGAAGAGTAAAGCTGTATTGTTCTGTGCTGATAAAGGCAAATGAATGAGGAAGAAGGGGAAAGAGCTTATTTCTCTTCCTCATGTTGCCTAAGTATTTTCTCTAAGGACGAAAGGGACCACATTTGATCCTAGGGTTGTTTTCACCTCAGATCTTACAGAAGACTAGTGAAAGCATGAATATGTTCCCCAACTACTATCTTCTACAATGAGGTCCAACTGCTGAAGTACTTACTTAAGTTTTAAATTTTACCCATAGCTAAATGCTCTTGGGAGTTATGATGCCTTTGCCATCTCCTTACATTTCGGTTAGAAAAGGCTATTCAATCCTTAGTCCTAGCAGTTGTGGCTGAAGAATCCCAGAGAAGGGATACGAAAGAACAGTATAAGGGATAAATAATCCATGAAGGATAGCACTGCAAGGAATGACAGGCTATTGTATATTTGCATGTATGACAGGCTATACACACACACACACACACACACACACACACACACACGTGTGTGTGTGTGTGTGTGTATGTATATCTTTTGGAACTAACAGTTTAAAGCAATCCTGTCCTGTTGCACAGATTAAGCTGATTTTCTAATCTATCTACCTCTGTTCAAATTATTCATTTCCTAAGCCTAGATTTCTATGCATCTCATTTTCTTTTTAAAGTTGAAATCATTTAGTCTTAATTCTAGGTGTTCTTCTATTTGCTGAAAGGAGTAAAAACATCCAAACAAGAATAGAGGAAAGCAGCCACAGTCCAGCACAGTACCACTGGTCCAGAAGGAAAGACATCCAACAAATGTTATGGATAAAATGAAGCATTAGAAGAATTAACTCTCTTTTCAAAGCAGAAGAATGTCTAGAATATTCTACATAACAAAAAGAGAAATTTCAAAATTAAAGGCATGCCTAAGTTTTTGTACAAAATTTTAAAAATAGAAAAATTTCTATAGGACTATACATCAAACTACTAATGTTTAACTGGGGGAATTTAATGTTTTCTTATGATAATCTGTATTTTTAATCTAAACATATATTATTATACAATTGTAAAAAGTTAATATAGGGCTGGGAAGGTGGCTCAGTGGTAGAGCCTTGCATGCCTGAGGCCCTGGGTTCGATTCCCCAGCACCACATAAGCAAAAAGAAAAAATGCCGGAAGTGGCGCTGTGGCTCAAGTGGTAGAGCGCTAGCCTTGAGCTGAAGAGCTGAGGGATAGCCCCCAGGTCCAGAGTTCAAGCCCCACGACCAGACCCCCCCCAAAAAAAAAGAAAAGAGAAGAAAAAAAGTTAATATAGTCGTCTTCCACTGCTCTTTGACAAAACTCACAGTTAAAAATTAACAAAGTCTCTAGTAGTCTTCGTGGCCACACTAATCAAGCTTTGTGTTGCTTTAGGGAACTCGAGAGGAAGTGAGGCATAGATAGTGTTCAGTCCTCCATGACTCAATCAGTGTTCCTATGTAAAGTAGCTGTGCCAGAAAATAATAGGTAATAAAGTCTGGGAGAGTCTGCCCTTCTTAAATAGGCCAACTCAAAAGGGGATGGTAGGGTACTGCAGAAAAACAGAACAGAATGAAAAGTATTCATCTGGAGGACACCAGAAAATTTTATAACAGAAATCATAATTTTCATAGTCCTGACCTGGCAGTCATTCTGCAATTATGTTCACCTTTTTTGAAGCTGGCTCCAAGTATCCACAGCAAATTCATGTGGCTATGAAGGGTCTTAAAGATAAAAGGTGCTGAGTGTGTGCATACAATACTCATGCTCACATCAGGTTCTACAACTATCTTTTAGTTTCTGGTATGTCAGGGGAACCATGAGCCTTCCATGGATTTTTTTTTTTTCTCCTGGTTCCACTCAATCCTTATTTGTCATCAAAAAGCACTATTTGTGTTTACAAAGGAAGCCAAAAGCACTTTACCTGTATCATGGCTCCCTCCTTACTATAACAATTACAACCACAGGTGTGGCAAAACCGGAAACAGTTGTTTGCTTTGGCTTAGCTATTACCCCAGAAATGAAAGAAACTTCAAAGAAAGATTTCAATAACCTTTGATAATCATTGGTTCATCTTCACTAAAGGAAAAACTACTTAAAATTTTACCAGGGATCCTCCTACTGTGAACGAGGAGAGTTGATAAAGTTTACATTATTTTTTCTCTTAGTCAAGATACTCTAGCTGAAACCCTAATTACCTGAGAGGAAAGAGAAATATTATCAATGTCATTCAAAACAAAAACTATTTTGTAGATTAGTGGCTAAAGCTAACTTTGGAGAAGCCTGTCACTGTCTATGGCTCAGCTTCAGGTAGTGTTTCAGCACAAGAAACCAAGGCACAGTTGGATTACATAGTAGAAAGAAGATGCTACCCAGTTCTTGGTTTACAGAATGACACCAAACAAAAGAGTAAGGAGTCAGTATTTGAATCCCATCTCCACAATATATCAAATTTGGAGTAAATAACTTCTTATTAGCAAAAACAGAAATAATAAACTATAAGGTTTGTGCAATAACTAAAAGCATGTTAAGAGAAGGAAGAATGAAGAATTCATGTTTAACAGGTAGAGCTTTAGTCTGGGATAATGAAAACATACTAGAGATAGTGTTGATGGCTGCCTAACTATACATTTAAAATGGCTGAAATTAATAGACACATGAAGAAATGTCCAACATCTCTATCCATAAAAGAAATGTAAATCAAAACAATGAGATTCCACCAGTTAGAATGGCCATTATTAAGAAAACTAACAATAACAGATGCTGGCAGGGATGTGGCCAAAGGGGAACACTACTACACTGTTGGTGAGAATGTTAAATTGTTCAATCATTCTGGAAAGCGGTATGTAGGATCCTCAAAAGACTAAACATAGAGCTTCCCTATGACCCAGTAATTCCATTCCTGGGCATTTATCCAATTGACCATGAATCAGGGCCACACCAAAGTTACCAATACAATCATGTTCATTACAGTATTGTTTGCCATAGCCGCAATATGGAATCAACCCAGATGCCCCACCGTGGACAAACAGATCAAGAAAATGTGGTATATATACACAATGGAATTCCATCAGAAACAACAATACTGTACCATTTGTAAAGAAAGTGAAAGAAAAAACTATATTAAGTAAGCCAGACTCAAAGAAACTCAGGTTGCATGGTTTCCCTCATTTATTGTAACTAAAAAGTACCTATAAATGTACAAGTAAACACAATGGATTGCAAAAGACAAAAAATTATACTTGGACATGATAAATTAAACAGGACCCTAAACATTCACACAGTGAGACCAAAGGAGGCTGCTTTTTATTTCTGTACTTATTTTCTCATATGTAAGTTATCTGTTTTGGGGAGAATAAGGGTGAGCACTGAAATGGTGGGACAAAGAGTTAACTAAGACAGCAGTGACAGACACTATGTTGAAAATAAACTATACAACGTGTGGGGGAGGAGGATGGGGAAGGAAAAAATTGGGAGAAAATGAGTAAAGAGGTCATACTATTTAAAAAGAAATGTACTTATTATATGACTTATGTAACTGTAACACTCTACACATACCTTTACAACAAAAAAATTTTAATATACAAAATGGCTAAAATTTTATTATTTTGTATTTATTATTTTATGTTTATAGCTCATAGTTTATTATTTTGTATTTATCATAATTATGTACAGGCCTTGGCTCTAAGGTACTCACGAAATGCTATTCCCTATTCCCCTATACAAATTTGGCAAAGGGGAAAGAAACAAAGTAAAATAAAATTATGCTATTTTCCCACCTTAATTTTAAGAGGCTTTGCATTTCAAGCAGAGCTTGTTGGTCTCAATACCAGTAGTGACATGATAAATGCCACTGTAGGAAGGAGAAACAAATTAGTCATGACTCCTCTGGCAGTTACCCAGTCTACCTCCACCCCAGTATGGCACCTCCCAGAATATCCACCCTCCAGCCCCAACATCCTGTAAAATAAAGAAGCCAAAACACTTCCTAGAACAGATTCCCGGTCCCAGGTGATGAGGACAAAATAATATTCAGGAGCAGCTGGCTCTTACAAGATGGGGGAGAAGCAAGACATTAGTAATGAACACCAACTAGATGGATCTAGATCCAGGTCTAGTGTCTAGTATTATGCTGATCAGTATCCAGATGCCTTTGGCTATATTTAATAGGGACAGAGGACAGAAGTCTCAAAGGCCTGGTAAAGACAGATTAAAAATGTACTTCTCTGCAGTTCAGGGAAAACAATTGCTGATTATGAGTTGTAAGTCATAAAATAGAGAAGGGGGAAAAATAAATGACTTATCTCCAGGCATATTAGAACATTTTTAATGAGCAGGCTATTAGATCTTAATGCAAAGTTCAGAGAGATGAGCATTAACACTCCTCAAACTTAGCTCAAGTAGAACAAAACATTTGGGTGCCAAGACCCAATCAATTCCCAAGCAATACTTACTTTAGGGTCTGAGCTCTTGAACTTTAACCTTTCCACCAACTCTATCATAGCCGCCTTCAGTCCGCCAGAGTCTTTGCTCTAGGAGAAAGAAAAGTCAAGGGTCATTAGATAGCATATTGTTGCTCTCTCAAATACTGTTTATGTCTTTTCTTTCTAACATATTTATAAGAGATTTCTTTGTTGCTTTGTATGTCCCTCCCCCATGGTATAACCCCTGTTTTCACTGTATTTGATGTTGGTTTAATTTGTGGAGGGGAAAGGAAAAAACAAATTGTTTAAATAGGGATACAGGTGGACCCATTACAACAATGAGATGTACAAGATGTTATATTGAAAAATGTACTTTACAACTTTGGTGGGGGGGGTGGGAAGGGGGGAGGATGGAAACGGATGGGAAGGGGAAACAACGGAGGAGGCAACAATGCTTGATAAGAAATTCACTCATTATCTTGCCCATGTAATTGTAAGCCGTCTGCACGGTATTTTCACAATAAAAAAATACTGTTTATGTTTGTATTTGAGAGAACAGTGAGACGAAAAGCAATTTTTCCTTCTTACCAGCCAAGAGATCTTAACCACTAAAGAGAGCTGCTCTGCTACTCCTTTCCTTCTCTATGGACAAAGAGGGTCAGGGCATAAATTGCCAAGTGACCTGAGAGAACTACTGGAATGAAAATTAAATGCAATTTGTAAAGGCTGATTCACTATTTCATTCCAGACTCAACATTGCTCCTGCTGCTGTTCACTGAGGGCTGAGGCCCTAGAGAAATTTCCATCATATGGCCTACTGATTTTTATTTTGAAGTTTTATGTGTCCAATACAGAAATATGCAATATTAAATTTTCTTATAAAAGTAAAAATAAAACATCCTTATATTTAAATAAAGATGGAATTACAGTGTGCTGGTAAGCAGTGTTTTCTGTTGTTTGTTGGCAGTGCTAGCAATTGAACTCAGGACCTCACACTTGCTAGTGCTCTGCCTCAGTCCTTTTGCTTTTAATTTATCTTTCAGATAGTCTTGTGCTCTGGCTTGGGTAGTATGGTCTCTGATAGCCATCTTCCTAACACACACACACACACACACACACACACACACACACACATACACCAAGTATGGCTGGAAGTCACAGGCATGAATCATCATGTCTTTTTTTTCTCCTCTCCTCCCTCCAACCCTTAGCCCACGCGTGTGTGTGTATGTATGTGTATTTGTGTGTGTGTGTGTGTGTGTGTGTGTGTCTTATCTGTCTGTCTGTGTGTCTGTGTGTTAAAGCAGGGTCTTGCTATATATCTTCTAGGCTGAACTCACACTGTAGTGCATGGTGATCTTGAACTCCTGATACTCCTGCCTTAGTGCTAGTACTACAAGTGTGTGCTACTATGCCCAGATAAAAGCACTAGGTTTTTGATTAAGATAACATTTCAAATTTGAGTCTGTCATTAACTAATAACTAAGAGAAAATTACAAAAATTCTCAAAATCTCTTCTACAAAACAGGGATGATACACAGGTTATTATAAAGGCTTAATTGAAATAGTCTTTGTAGAAGCAGCAATACAGTATATGGCACACAAGTGTTCCAAATGTCATCTATTGTTGTTGTTATTATTGCAGTGTAATGATTCAGTACAGTCCAAAAATAACAAGCCCTCCAATAACAAGCCTACAATTAATTTTAACTTTTATTATAGTAGCTACAATAAGTGAATTCAATTTTAATGTATTTTATAGTAAATCTAAAACAGTATTTCCCACAGTTTCAATAGTGTTATATATATATATATATATATATACACATATGTATACAGTGTATATTTGTATGTATACATATATATGTATATACCTGAAAACTATGTGTCTGTGTATGTATGTTTGTTTCTATGTGTGTGTGGTTTTCATACTAGGTCTCTGAAATCTAGCATTTTTTTAGTTTTGGTCAGTTGTGGGGTTTGAACACTAAGCCTAAGTGCTGTCTCTCAGCTTGAGCCACAGCACCACTTCCAGTTTTCTGGTGGTTTATTGGAGCTAAGAGTCTCATGGACTTTCCTGCCTGGGCTGGCTTTGTTTTGAACCATGATCCTCAGATCTCAGCCTCCTTAGTAGCTAGATTACAGGCTAAGCCACCAATGCCTAGCTTGAAATCTAGTATTTTTATACTTTCAGCCCAATTCAATCCAGATTTCAAGTACTCCAAAGCCACATGTAGCTAGTGACACTGTACAGATCAACACAGACTTATAGTAGACTGCAGAGTTCTGCTACTTGGATTCAAATATTTATCATTAGTTGTGTGACTTTAGACAAGTCTATTAATCCCCTTATCTATTTATTTCTTTAATTTATATGGAGCTAACATTAATAGTACCTATGTCATGAGGTTGTAGTAAAACTAAGTTAATAAATGTCAAGATGTTTAGAACAAGGGCCTATACCACAAGGCAGAGAAATTTAAGAAAATTTTATTGTCTGTTTCCTTCTTGATGTTTTACATTCCAAGGTAAGAGCTACATTTTTGGATCTGTGTATCTCTTACACTCATTATCAAGACCATGTAAAAACTCTATTGAACAAACAACTTGAACACAGAATTTTAAGACATGACTTCCCTAATAAGATAATATACTATATGTATTCTAAAGCTACGGAGCTAGTTTATTTTCTCATCTCAACAATTGTATGGATAGATAGAACCATTCATTTCACCAGAGGAAAAGGAAGCATAAAAAAGTACTGCCATTCTTAGCATAAGAATAAATGCCATATATATCTCTAATTCAAACTTAGCCTCTAGATCAGTGATAACATAGTTTCACAATTTGCAGAACCATTTTTGAATTTCTCCAAACAGGAAATGCTTTGTAAGATCCCATTATATGGATTAAAGTTAAATTCTTTTTCCTTCTAACCTCTCTTTCCTCCAATCTATATGGTAAAAGTTTGATATCATATGACTAACGTCTGCTTTAAATATGCTCTCTGAACACAGCTTAGATTACATTCCCATTCTAGCTGTAGTTCTAAATTATAATAATTTTTTAATGATGTTTTTAATTTCTGAACTCATTTAAGTCTGTAGTCTCATAGCAGAGGTTGGAAAAAGTAACCTAAAGGGCACATACTAGGGTGTGGGTAAGACCTCAAGTATCTACAAAAGGGTTAAGCTGCCAGACACAATCCTGCTTTTTACAAGATGATCAGACAATAAAGCCCGTCTGGTGATATCATTCTTCTAACCCGCTGCTCATTGGCTTAACAATCAGGTCATTTGTCCCTGGAAAGCTCTCTTCCCCCACAGCCCAGCTGCCAGCACCCATTTTAAGCTCTTCAGCAAGAACCCTCATGTATTATGACTTTCCCCTTGGCTCTAGAGAACAGGAAGGAATGCACAAACTGTGCCTTAAAATCTTCAGTCAAGAAACAAAAACACAGAAGGAATTCCTAAGCAGCAGGCAGCCTGCATGCAGGCAGATGTGCCTTATACAGACAGATAAGGAACCCTTTGCCTTCCTTCATAAAAATGCATCATCAGCAGAATCCTTCCTCCTTTTCACAAAGCATCAGAAGCATCACTACCCACAGGAGAGACAGGGAGATAGACACATTTTAGCTTCCCCTCAGGAAATTCACCCATTCTACCTCCCCACCTGACTCCCTGAGAATTATTTTTGAAGAATAATTGGAATAATTGAACCTGCTATCCTCAGCCTCCAAATGGGTGGTGAATAAAAGAAAATTCTCTAATGCTTTTGTAAACAAAACTTCTTCCCAGAAGAACCTTTGCTTGACAAAGGGTCAGCTGACTCTGCCAGCTATAGAGCTCTTACAAGAATCCAAGTGAAGGATCCTGGCCCAAATTCAGCCTCAATTCCTGCTTTTTCCCACACTCAAGTCCTGAACCTAAGGGTCCTTGTATACAGGTGTTCAAGCGAGTGTCCCAACTCAGAGAAAACCACTCTAAAACCCTCCTTTTGACCATTCCTGGGACTTAGGATTATATCAGGGGAAAAATTCAATGACTTCATCCATTGAACCAGGCAGACAAACTCAAGAAGAGGGTCTACAGGCTCTGGAAGTATAGCACAGGATTAGAGGGCATGGAGTTGTTTGGGTATAAGGGTGGTATCGCAGTATCCCCAAACTACAAGGTAATATCTATCCTATTTCAATTAATTATTTGTTTGCTAAGGGAATCTTTAATCAAAAGGTAGTCAGCACAGGAGACTGAACTCTCTCATATTCCTTTATTTGTGGGAAAGAAGAGCTTCCAGAGAAGTGGAATTCTAACCTTATACACATCTTAATCCAATCTTGGGGCAAGCACCATGACCAGTGGAGAAGGGAAGTCTACTAATATTTGTATGTCACCTCCTGGCACTACTATGTCCCAAGAACACAGCTTAAACAGGCATTCCTTGTTTATAAATATCTTTCCTCTCCTAAGAGAATACAGAATAAAGAAATGCACATTGTTGTTATACCCACCCCTCACAATTTGATCAATCTGCTGAAGTACAGAATGCTTTGCAATAGCCAGGGATGAATCATAATAAAACCAAGGAAAGGGATACTATGTCTTATAGCTGAAGGTGCTCACCAAAGCACTTAAATATGCTCTTTCATTGAAATTTTGCAATATCAAAATATTTAAAAGTAGCATATTCTCACGTTAAAGCTAAGAAAAAAACAGCTGGTGGAAATCAAATGAGGAACCAAATATCACAGCATTCACCCATTCACTAGCATTTCACATTAACACAATAATAAGAGACAGTGTTAAAAAAAAAAAAAGAAAAAGAAAATGAGTTCTTACCATCGAAAAAATGGCTTTGTGAAAGACAAATGATGTCGACCAAATCATAGGGCTAGTCAGTAGAAAAACCAGCATTAGAAAGATCTAAATAAAAATGATTTTTGTATGCTCAATCTTAATTGTGAAACTAATAGGAGTATTATGAACTAAGTCTAAAACCTTCATATTTCTAGCCATAATACAAGTCCCAGCAGTAATTTATAATTTGAACAATATATTAACATCAAGAATATGGGCTGGGAAGGTGGCTCAGTGGTAGAGCGCTTG